AATGTCATTGGTATTTTGTTGAAGATTGCACTGAGTGTGTAGATTGCTTTGGGAATTACACACATTTTGATGATGTTAATTCTCCTAACTCAAGAACATGAGATATCTTTCCATTTGTTTGTGTCCTCTTCAATTTTTTTCACCAACGAATTATAGGTTTTATTGTAGAGATCTTTCACCTCCCTGGTTAAATTTACTCCTAGGTATTTCTTTCTTTCTTTTTCTTTCTTTTTTTTTTTTTTTTTGATAGCTATTATGAGGGGGATTACTTTCTTGATTTCTTCTTAGGCTATTTTGTTGTTGGCATATCGAAAGGCTGTTGATTTTTGTGTGTTAATTTTATATCCTGCCACATTACTGAATTAATTTATTAGTTCTAGTAATTTTTTGGTGGATCTTTAGGGTTTTCTATGTGCAGCATCATGTCACCTGTAAACAGAAATAATTTGGCTTCCTCCTTTTCTATTTGGATGCCCTTTTTTGCTTTCTCTTACCTTATTGTGCAGGCTATAACTTTCAGTACTATGCCAAATAAAAGTGGGGAAAGTGGCCGTCTTTGTCTTCTTCCAAATCTTACAGGAAAAGCCTCCAATTTTTGCCCATTCAGTAAGATATTGGGTATGGGTTTGTTGTATATTACCATGACTGTGCTGAGGTACATCCTTTCTATTCCTAATTTGTTGAGTGTTTTTATCATGAAGGAGTATTGAATTTTATCAAATGCTTTTTCTGCATCTATTGAAATAATATTTTTTCCTTTGTTCTATTGATGTGATGTATCACATTTACAGATTTGCATATGTTGAACCATCCTTGCATCCCTGGAATAAATCCCTTCTGATCATAGAGTATGATCTTTTTAATGGGTTGCTGGATTCTGTTTGCTAGTACTTTGTTGAGAATCTCCACATCTGTGTTCATTAGGGATATTGGTCTGTGGTTTTCTCTTTTTGTTGTGTCTTTTCTGGTTTTGGTATGAGGGTAATGCTGGCCTCATAAAATGAATTTGGAAGTATTCCCTTCTCTTAAATTTTTTTGGAAGAGTTTGAGAAGAATTGGTGTTAGTTCCTCTTTAAATGTTTGGTAGAATTTCAGCAGTGAAGCCATATGGTTCTGGGGTTTTCTTTGTTGGAAGACTTTTTATTACTGCTTCAATGTTATTGCTTGTTATTGATCTGTTTAGGCTTTCTAGTTCTTCATAATTCAACTTTGGTAAGTTGTTTGTGTCCAAGAATTCATCTGTTTCTTCTAGGTTTTCCAGTTTGTTTGCATATAGTTGTTCCTAGTCGTTTCTTTTGATTCCCGGTATTTCTGTGGCATCAACTACAATGTCCCCTTTTTCATTTCGGATTGTATTTGAGTCTTCTCTCTTTTTTTCTTTGTTAGTCTAGCTATAGGTTTATTGGTTTTGTTTATCTCTGAAAAATCAGCACTTTGCTTCATCAATCTTTTGTAATTTTTAAAAATCTCTAATTCATTTATTTCTGCTCTGATCTTTGTTTTCTCTTCAGATCCTATAAATCTTTTGCCTTTTTCTCTCCATAATTTTGAACCTTAATATACCTCAAGTTCCAACTGTGAAAGTAATCTCATAATGCTGAGGAGAAATAATTGAGTCTGAGCTGATTGAACTGCTTTTCACATTCTTTCTCATAATGTTTTCAAATAATTATTTGTCTATTTTAGAAAATACATGCATGATACATTTAATACGTGTGTTTAATTTCTTGAAATTTATTGCTTACCATTATTAATATACCAGAAAGTTAAAAAATAATCTGTGAAATGCAGGGTATTCACTAAATGAACACTCATAAATCTTATTTTACTCTCTTTGTCAATACTATAAGAGCAAAGCTGTGAACTATTTCTCTGAAATATTGTTCTACATGGTTTGTTGTGTTCTTTCTTGACAGGGTTTGGCAACTTCAGATGTAGTTTCTCTATTTCCTCAGGTTTAAAAGATATTTGGAATATAGATTTCAGTATAAATAATTCAATTTATTTACTGAACAGTAAGGATAATCACAGTTATGAGGATTGATTCTTATCGATTATTATGATGTATTTGCATAAGTTATTTTTGATAAGAACATAAACTATTTTGCAAAGTATAGATGTTCATTTATTAGGGTAAGCCAATTATTCATATAACTAAGTCAGTGCCCACCAGATCTAAATTCTCTTTAATGAAGTTGAGAAGAATAACAAGCTATGTACGTGAAGCTCTGGAAGAGACTGTCTACCTCCTATTGATAGCATCTTATAAGATGCTAAAACATCATTATTGCATGGGTTGGGAAGGACTGTAGGAATTTTTTAGGTTAAAATACCAGAGTATCTGAAGCCATATTTAGTTCCAATTTATAACACACTCTTTGTAAATAAAACTGTTTTGAATGACTTGTGAATATTATATTAAACCTAATGATTAATTAGAAAGTGTTTGTTTATGTGAATATACATGTATCTAAATGAGGGTGTGTATGTCTGTGTGTTTGTAGAATTATTACCTTTGTAAATAAGACTGTTTTGAATGACTTGTGAATATTATATTAAACCTAATGATTAATTAGAAAGTGTTTGGTTATGTGAATATACATGTATCTAAATGAGGGTGTGTATGTCTGTGTGTTTGTAGAATTATTAGGTGTATACATTAAAATTCTTTTTTCCACTGGTTAATAATGTCGAATATTAGCAATTTCTTAAGATTTTATATAACATGTATTATAAGTTATGACCATCCAGAGTTCTATCATATTAAATAAGTGTACATGTTTTTCTATTTACCTAGCCATAATGCTTTTTGATTGCCTAATATCTTCTGAAGCTCAAAACTAATATCCTATATAATCCTATCATTAAAATTGCTATTATTTCTTGGAAACCCACCTTTGTGAACTAATTAATGTGATTAATCTCTCAAATTGTTCAGTGACATTGCAGTGGTACAAAATCTTATTGGGAATATCTGGAACAGTAAATGGTGTCCTGGCTTTGACTTTGATCTGCCTGATCCTGTTGGGTAAGTTAGAAGATCTTAATCAAATCGGGATATAAAATATGTTTACTTTTCTCTTATGAATCTTTTTTATATTCATTCATTTATTCTTTATTACATTTACCAAGATTGAATAAGGAGCTACTATGTAAAAATCTCTATATTATACTCCACAGTACCATATTTAATATGTAAACTACATAAGTATATATTCCTTAAGTGGCATACAGTCTAATCGGAAGGAAGGGGTATTGTGTGTGTGTGTGTGTGTGTGTGTGTGGTGTATGACGGTACTTCAAGAAGTTTGTGAAATAGAATAAGAAGATAATACAAATCTTTTCATGAATTTTTTAAAACAATCTCATATTTA